TTTCATCTCCGCCCCGGTGGGTAGGGTTTCTTTGGGAACCACCGGGCGGAGAAAAAAATGGGGCCACCAGTCTAGATGTGCTCCAGTGAAGTAGGAACTTCGTCACTTGCGGAAGCTCGTGCATGTTGTATAAACTGGTTTTTTTGCAGTCCAGTCTCATTAATCGCGCCAACTCTCAATGCCATAAAAATACCACTTTGTAATTTTGCTATCTTATAGAAATATGATGACTTTCAAAAATAAATCCTTTTTGAAAAATTTTAAATATTATTTTTCAAAAAAAATGTTTTAAATTTTTATTTTTACTTCATTTTTGTATGAAATTTGTTAATACAAACAATTTTTCGCTTTTCCGAACTTTTGTAAGGTGTATCCTCAAGTAAACTAAAAGTCTCCAAGATCCGTTGCGATCAAATGGAACTGTAAGTTATTAGAGATAACCATTTTTGACAAAAATTGCGTTTCTCTTTGTGCTTTAAAACTGCCTAGGTGTACCGCCAGTGTGCCTTTTGAGACAAACTTTTTAATTTTGTAGTCCGGCATCAAGTTCTACAAGTTGACTAAAAATGAAAAAATTCTAAGAGATCGCATAAAAAAGTATGTAATTTGACGTAAAATTGCTCATTGTTTCCACTTTACTTTCTTGAATTGCTTCTTTACATAAGTGCTTGAGGATTCCAAATCCGCAGTATAACAGTCTTCGAAAAAAGTTGAAATTTGAAAAGTCTGTCATGAACACCACAAAATAGCAAGTTTTCAAAGGTGAACTTGTTTGACTGCGTTTTCTTTTCAAATCTTGCCTTTAATTCTCTCAATTGTCTGTCGTTTCCTTCATTTAAAATACTTTGCAAGTTTTTGCTGTGTTTGATTTCCGAGAATTTTTGTAAAGTTCCTGCTTTCTGGAAGTCTTTCAACTTTTTTGAAACGTCATCCAGGATCTCCCTTGCACCAGTTATTTCAGCTACCAGTTCGGTGACTGCATTTGCTTCAAACTAAAATTTAGGTAGTTAAACTAATTTATCGCAACAACCATTATAAGATAAAACAATTACACATCTTTTGCTGCTGCTTTTTCAATTTTCACACAACGCACCTTTTGTTCTGCTCTTTCCATGCACTTTTCTGGTTTGTTTTTTAAAGTTGCTCAATCAGCTTCAAAACATTTTTATTACTTTTGCTGGTGGTGGGTGTCTGCGCAGCTTACAGAGTCATGAGTGTTATACCGCCCAATGGCACACGAAACAAATTTAAAGGTCCTGTATAAAAGAACAAAGCAAAGAAAGAGGGAAAAAGAGCTTTTAAAAAGATCCTTAAATTGCCACTCAGCAGTGTCATGTACGAGGATCGTTAAAATCTCTAGAGAGAAAGATCTTGAATAGATCAACATTATGAAAAATAAACTAGTCGTGTAATCCCGTTAAGAGAGAAGGAAGGGCGCTATAATAATGTTTAGAATTCCTACGTAGTGACGGCTGTTCATATATATTTGGAGGAGAAACATCTAAAGAGGCTCTTTCTCAAAAGAAAGCTTTGTTGGCGCCCTTTATATGGAATAATATCAATACACTGAGCTGGTTTATAAAAAGTCAGGAGCCTGTGAAGAAAAGCCACAGTTTTAAAGAAAACCAGGACGTGTTGTATGGTGCTTTGTCACTTGGAACCAGAGATGATACATGGTGTTGTTTTTGAATATCTTTTTCCATACAATTTCTTACATATATGAGTCCATATGTTACCTCTCTGTTCTCTGGTTTAATTTGTGACTTCTTTTAAATTTCTGCCACAGAGACTCATTGGTGCTTTTACAGGGATTGAGCTCTAGATTAACGAACTGAACGCTGTGGTTAACAGTCTGGTGCTGATACCCTTCTAGTATATCCTTCATGTGTCAGACACTATAGTTGTTCCAGAGCCATACCGAAGCTAATGGGATAATGAAACAAAAACCAAACATACAAAGAATTAAGATAACAAAAAACTAAGGAATTATAACCGATGCAGATAAGTTTGAGGCTTAAAACAGTAGAGAACAGAACACTGCAGCAGCCGGAAGGGCGTGTTCAAAAAATAAAGCAACGCTCACCTATCTTGGTACTAATGTTATGCAACGAGCGGCATTTGAGTTTTATAAACGCGTTCTCAAAAATAGACAGTTTTTATGTTCGTTTTGGAGCGCTATGATTGTACTTCAATAAGCCCTTAACCCTGTAGAGCAAAAGTACAATGGCATCTGTTTCCAAAAAAATGTCCATAAAAACCTCAGAAGAAAGTGATATACATCTGGTCTTCTGTGGACACATCATGCATTACTGTTTGTCGCGACAAACATTTACTTTCGACAGTCACAAGAGATAGCAGAAATCTAATGTGTACTAGACAACATTTGTTTATTTCTCACAAAACAGTTTGATATAGTTTTTGAGAAATCACTTTCAAAATGACCAAAAGCTTTAAGGAAGATACCCTCAAAACTGTTGCAGTTTTTGCATCTTTTTTATTCTTCTAAAGACATTTGCGAAATCAGTGATCAGAATGGAAAAATTCCCAAAGATGTGAACAGAGCAGCGTCTTAATTTTCAGACCTTTCAATTTTCCTATAACCACCGCTAAGATAATCAATCTGCTATTATCCCGCAAAATTACTAATTGTCCTCTGATAGCCAGTGCTGACCGGAACTATTTTATTTTTGGAAATTTGAGTTAACGATTGTCAGATTAAAATTCCATGTTTGAGAAGGGGTGTCAAAGGACTCCCTTCTTTTTCCCAAGTTGCGACTGGCGATTTCGCTGTCCTCGCATCTTGACGCAGTCAATAAGAAATGTCGATCGCGTCATTCTCGACTTAGGATAGAAAAGTCCCCACCTAACGCTGAAAAAATGTGCTATGCAGTTGGAGATTTATTTACAATAGTGAGACGTTATGAACGCGTTTGACCTTTTGTAGCAGAATGAAGAGGGAGGGGTTGGTGAGAAGCGTGGAACAGTAGTATGAGATGGCCAAAACGATGGTGTCATGTCAGTGATGCAGAAAATGACTAGTTACTCAAGTTTGGGATAAGCTAAGCAGTGTCAGCAGTAATGAGACATTATAAACAGGTTTGAACTTTTGTAGCAACATGAACAGGGAGACTAAAGATGAAGGTCATAATATGAAGGAAATGGGTTTGTGTGGCATTAGAAAAGACATGTGTTGCGGGGTGCAGCGGAGTATTTGTAGGACGTGAAGCAAGAGTTGGTGGCTCATTCCCCTGAAGGGTACTTTTTTTTGTGTGTAACTGAGTACTTAAACTGATGTTGAATTTACATTTTTTTCGCTCTTCTCTCAATTCTGAAGACCTGAGAGAAAAGCTGCACTAGCACCCCTCATACAAATGGCTTTCCAAAAATTGGACTGTGGTAAAGCGGACCGGTAAGGAGCCAATGAGTAGAACCCACAGTTTCAAACGGAACCTGGAGACAGTCGATGGTGTTTCGCTGTTTGCGATTAAGGGTGGTACAGCGCATTGCCCTCATATGTCTTTTCCACATGAATTTGTCCGTATACAAATTCAAAAGTGCCCTTTCTTTCCCATGACGTAATTTATGCTCCTCCTTGAACTTTGTTTCAAAGACTCAATAATGTTCGTGCCAGCACCGATCTCAGGATCAACAAAGTACAGACTGCAAAAGACAGCCTCATGCTGATCCCCCTCTGGCATATTTTTACTGGTATTATAAGCCGCACATTGGTCAGACACTATAGTTGTGACTGAAAAAACATATGGCCTAATCAGTAGCAGAAGAGTAGCAGCATCTTGTCGCTTCATTAGAACGACGAAGCACTTATTGTTCCTTAGCTCAATGCCCTCGAAGCGCTACTGTTCCTCTATGACCCTACCTCTCTTGTACTTTCTTCTGGTAAAGAACATCTCGTCAATCTTTACTACCTTACCAGGATCCTGAGTCGTTAAAGGATTTCTCCGAAAATGTTCCATGCAAACATTTTAAAAAATGTATATAACTTACTAAAGTGTAGGACCTTAGTTTGCTCCCCGCTTCACAGAGCATTTCCGCTGTTGCGTCTCCGTATGTAAGCCTCATTTGTTTCACCTTATACGAAGATAAGCAAAAGATATCCTTTAAACTTAGTTTAGTGTTAAACAAATGTGCCACTACAGAAACTTGGTTTCTTGCGGCACTCTCTTCTTTTGCATCTAAAATACCTACTGTCCTTGCACAAAATAACTTTGGGAAAAAGTTTACAATTCTTGAAGGTGGTTAGTTTCTTTAAAAAATAATACTCAAAATAATGATCTGACCAAGATAGGCATTTTTCGCTACAACGAGGCGCAGAATTAATTTGGTAGTGAAGACGCCTATGTATAAGTGGTATAAAGCTTTGGCATATGATCAAATCTTTATAGGATCGGTTAAAAATGAAAACTTTGAATTTTCGTCAAGAGGAAATTTGCCTTATTAGTTTTATTATGTTTAAACGCTTAACCGACGTTTTCTGCCGGTGTGTTGCATTTTTGGCTGTTCATTTCACAAGCGCAGATTTCAGGATTATAGAGTCGATTTTCATATAATCTACTTTTTACTGTATTTGTTATAATTGTAAATAATGTTTTATAGTCAGTTGATCAAGAAGCTTGGTCGTTTACAGAATGAACACCGTGGAGTATATCGTCTGCGCAAAATAGCTTCAATTTATAGGGTTAAGTTTTTTTTCCCCCTAATTGTCGAAATAAAAGAGTAAAAGCAACAGAGAAAATTTCAAAGGCTAACTACAAAAGCTGACTTTAGCATACTATTTCAAAACACTTTATGGTCATTAATTGCCCGTTCAGTGATAAACCAAAAAACCTACCACCGGCACAAACGTAGGTACAAAAGAAATTTTTGGATGAGTTTTTTTCGGAGGTACTGTACTGTTTTTTGGCAGATTCGTGGCTTGTAAATGTAAGCTAATGCCTCTAACCACTTTTTCTCAGTTGCATTTTTTTTTTATTTTCAGTCAATTACAGTTTTGAGTCAGAATTACCACCCTAAAACAGTGGTTGCCCTTTGAAAAAAAATTCTTGAAGATTTTCTTTCTTCTTGGTGTCTTTTTTTCCTCTCTTTACTACACTTTTTCCTTATTGAAATTTCCGACAGGTTAATACGTAGAGTGAAAAAGATTTCACTCCATCCATCATAAGGAGTAATTTGTGCGCACACCCACCAGCTGTAACGACCCCGCTTAAGCACCAAAAATTCTAAACTAGCGTTTCTAAATGAGCAAGTCCTCGTGTGTTGGGTATATTACTGAACAAACCTTTCGCATTCCAGCAACTTGCAAAATTGACGGTATACTTGTAGCTTCATCTTTTTCTTCATAAAACGATAAAAGCGAGGGACTGAGCTGAAAGAGTCTATTTTTTATTTTGAATAAAGTGCTGCAAAACAAATATTGAAACAAAGCTCTTCTATCGATAACGCTTTAATGAGTCAGACTACAAGAGTTTTATGACATACCTGTGAGAGCTGTTCGCCTTTATTATTGGTTCTCGGAAAAATAGATGCGATTTTTGGAGACAGGATGTTGAGCAAACTGAGCTTTTTCACAGTTTCTTCTCCTTTGATTGTAGACTTTGAGCCTGTTTCTTCTAACAAGCCTGTTTCTCGCAAAACTGATTTTGTCTAAAGTTACAGTACAACAAATTAAATCTCTCTGTCTTGCACTTACTTCGAATTACAGCTTTTGAAAAGTAAGACAGACTACCAACTTATCTCGCTACTTTATGAGTTTTCCTTCCTAAAATGAAGACGTTATCTGTTTATCAAGAATACAGCATTTACAACCTGTAAGCTGCTTTACCAAGTTTGTAGTGAAAAGAAAGAAAACTGATTTTTCTTCTCTATTTTATAAAACTTAATACAATTTTCGTTCTTACTATTTCCATTATCATCTTTAAAAAGAAGCTGAAAATATTTTTTATGCGACGCTTGCAATTTCTCAGAATATGTATTTGATTTCTTACCTCATCAAAAATCTTCTCATACGATTTCACCTGATTCTCTTCGCGAAATTTCTTTCCTTTGTCCAGCATTGCAATGAAATCTAAACTCTCATCATTTATTACCATATTCAAAAAAATTTATCATTGTCGCAGAGTAGATAACTTTGGATTATAGCAGTGTGCTTGAAAACCCGGAAATGGTCATAGTGAAGGACTTATGGTGAAAGAGTACAAAGTCAATGATTGAAAGTGACACTAATACACAGAACTATCGTGTTTTATTATGAATTCTTCACAAATTTTTATTGTTAGAAGAAGGGTTTTTATTACGACTGTAAACACGAACAACGAAAAATCTCCCTTCTGTTCTTGAGTTATGATTTACTGATAACCACTCAGTTTAGGAAGAGATCAAATTGGTCAAAAATAAAGCTGTTTTTTTAATTTCTAGTGATAATTAACACATTTATAAGCATATCTATTCTAAAAATGCCTTTAATCCTAATTTGATATAAAAACTTCTGGAGGGCGAAATCGCCTTTTTTATAGAAAGACTTACAAATAGTTGGCCCTTTTGTGGTTGAACCGTAGTGAGATGACAACTACAATTAGAAATCAAGAACTTTAAAGATTCATTTGTGATAACCTTCATAAGCAAAGACGAAGTTGGATTTGCGTTGCATTACGTGCCAGACTTACCCGATAAACCAAGAAGCGCACAGTTAAAACTAAAGCTTTACGCTAATTCGAATTTAATAGATCAAACTCTCAACAAAAACAGATATAAAAAGCATAAAGTCCCAGTGATTTCAAGAAAATCTTACAAAATTGAAGATGCAAAAAGTAAAACTCTAATGTGCCTTTTAAGAATACCTCCTCACCCTGCAAGTTCTCAAGCCGCATTCACAAGCGGTATAAAGATCATAATCAAAGTTATACAACAACATTTCCGAACTTTGAATGATTATCAGCGAGATCTTGCGCACGCTCTTTTAACTAATAATAAAGCACTAATATTTTACAGGTCTCAGCAGAAACAGGATAAAAATGCATGACGGTTGCTTGCATATGCGATTTACCAGCCGGGAATTCAGGTTTGATTTTAGCAATCTAGCTGTAGAAAACATCGCTAAATGAGCCCTTGCACAAAAACCAAATATTTTGCAAGAAAACGCAATTTTCTTCAAGCCTTTTCAGCCGAGAAAATATATGGTGGCTCAAAACGCAGACGAATGGACACGCTGTCGTGGTCGCTATGGATGAGAGTAGTGTCTGGTGCCGAGGCTTGATCCTCTTACCAATTTAGCAAAAGTTCTTATCGACACGTACAATCATCAATACGGTAGATTATTTCTCAAGTAATAAAGAGCGCTCAAGACTGGAGCGGAAAGAGAAATACAGGAAAAGGACCAACTATTTGTAAGTTTTCAAGAATCAGTAAAAAGAAAGACTAACTCTCGACTTTTTCAGAATCTACTGTGTATGTTCGGCCTCCTGTACGGTGTCTGCCTTTCACTAATTATATTTGCAATAAATAGAGCCGAATGTAGCCACCCTTAATTTTGTCGAGCAAGAATCCGATCATGCTCCACAGTCACGTAGAAAAAAATAGAAATTTTTAAATATAACTTCAATTTTATTTAAAAACTTTCATTTTTCTTTACGTAACTGTGGAGCATAATCAGATTCTTGCTCGACAGAATTAAGGGTGGCTACACTTGGCTCCATCCATTGAAAAACCCACGAAGCCAGAAGACCAAGATTGAACGTGACAGAAATCAAAAAACAAAAAACTAATTTGCAAGGTTCTATGACATCAGTTTTGTAAGTTTCTGTTTTACAGCACAATAATTAAAACTTCAACTCCGTGCTTATTTGTGACTTTTGAAACCACCTTTGCAGTATTCATCTTTCTCCCTCAGTATTTGTTTAAACCAAAACTTTTTCACCTTTTCCCATTTCTAAATTTTGTCTGTTTTGGTTCACCTTTTTCTATTAAAGTTAGATTATGCTAAGCAAAGCATTTAGCATGTGCCAGACCTTTTTTTGTTTTTTGTTCTTTTTCATTCTACTTTATGTTTATTTTTACACTCATCTTTTGAGCTTTTTCTGAAGCACGGCGAAAGCAGGCGTCAAAGACTTCTTTTCTTCATTTTATTTTTTATTCTTTAACACAACATCATGTGTTGAAAAATTTTTTTCACCAAACTTTTTAGTTTTCAATATGAAAGGATTTCAAGAAAGGTAAAGGAAAAACTGCATCAAAAAATTAGAAAGACCACGAATGCGGTAAATTATTTCAAAGAATCAAGTACCATTTCCAGTTGTAAAAGGTGAAGACTAAAACAATCCAAAGTGCTTTTTTTCTCTATCAGTGCGTAGTTGTTCATTCACGTGCTCTTGCATAAATGATTAATGATTAAATGTTCAAATTGTATTTCGTATCGTCAAATTTCTGTCTGATACTAAAAAAAGGCTGTTCACTGTATCATTCGACTTAAGCGTTGTTAGTTCTGCTGTTCAAGAGTATGGCGACTACGTACGAAAGAACACAGTTCTTGACGCATGCGTTCTGGCCTGACCGCAAAGAAACG